GGAAGGAAGGAAGGAAGAAAGAAAGAAAGAAAGAAAGAAAGAAAGAAAGAAAGAAAGAAAGAAAGAAAGAAAGAAAGAAAGAAAGAAAGAGTAAACAATATGCTACCATTCACAAAAAAAGAGGTTATATACATGGATTGTTACAGACAAATAATACATATGCATAAGTATAATTATGGTTACTTGTGTGAGGAAGCCTTAGCAGGTTCCAAGTAAAGGAGAGACCAGGTCAGAAAGGAATTCTCTGATGCCTGAATCATGTTTGTCCAATTCAAAAAAGCAAGGAATTCTTAAACTAAATAAAATGTGTTATTTAACTAAGAATCACGTTACAAATTAAACAACAAAATAATAGCAATAGCTAGCTTTACTGAATTCATTCTGTTCCATAAACCAGGCTAGCTCTACTATTACATACATGGAAGGCTCTCACTTTACTGAAAAACCTGAAGGGGGTGGAGCTAAGCAGGTTTCCTAAGACTGCTAAGCAAGTAAGTAAATGAGCCATTATTTAAAACTAAAATATTCTACTCTAAAGTTCACACTTTTAACCACTGTAGAAGACTCCCCCTTTACAATGAAATGCCCAGAAACCAGATAATCAACTCGTCATTTCTCTAAATACCTAGTGTTACAACCACAAACTTCTATCCACTTTCCATATTATTTTCTGTAAAACTCCACCATAGCTTTTTTTTAACCTCTCAACAGCCTTAGTTGCAACCCAGTTCAGTTCACATTCTGCACTCTACCCTTCCCAACGTATTTTTCAAAAACCACTATTTCACAAAGCCTCTAAATCCCCCAAATTCCCACACCCATGCCTTTGCTTCCAGGATCCTTCTAATATCCATTCAATGAAACCCTAACTCAGAAACAGATACCTAGCTTTAAATTTAAAGTGAAGGCTTAGCACAAAAACAACTACTTAATTCATACCAACAATGTAAATAAAAAAGGTTTTCCTTAAAGATACTGATGATACAGAAATTTAACAGTAATTTTTAAATATATATGATAGTAAGGGATCGAAGTAACAAAAGATTAGCTAGGCATGGCATTGCGCACCTTTGATCAGAGTGCTCAGGAGGCAAAGGCAGGTGGATCTCTGCATTCAAGGTCAGCCTAGACTACAGAGCAAGTTCCAGGACAGACAAGACTGCATAGAGAGACCCCCTATCTCAAAACAGAACAAAATAAAAACACAAACGCTAGGGAGATGGCTCAGACCACAAAGTGCCTGCTGCACAAGCATGAAGACCCGAGTTCAGTTATCTAGCACTCACATAAAAATGAATACATAAATAAAAACAAAACAAAATGTTGCCGTGGCATATTTAGAACTCCAGCACTGTAGGCACAGGCACAGGCAGACTCCTGTAGCTGTGGCCAGCTAGCCAACCTAACTAAATCAATGAGCTCCAGGTTTAGGGAAAGATCCTGTCTCAAAACATAAAAATAAAATAAAATAAAAAGTAAGGTGGAGTGAGACCATCAACATAGACCTACAGCTTCCACATGCCATGTGTACACACTCATATAAACACATACACATCACACACCAAAAGAACAAAAACATTTATTACCTGTACTGTAAGGAATTCGCAGTCTATATCATTGTGGTAATTTTAAAATAACATCCACCAGTTCTTCATTCCTCCCTTCAAAGAGTTACCACCTAATTCTCTCCCCACTTGAGTAATACATCAGTTTGAAGGCCTGCTGATGAACTAAGCATGGCAGGCATTATGGCAGGTCTTTCTTCTGGGCTGGGGTGAAAATGGCATTGTGGCATCTCCCTTGCTTTGTCTCTGTCACCTTTTTAATCATATTCAACGTCCAAGAGCACTCAAGCAGCATCATGGAGACTATGCTAGGACAATGAAATGAGGATGCAAGGCAATGGCTAGCAAAGAACTGCCGAGTCTTGCAAACAGTACATGTAAATAAGCCTTGAAGCAGATTCTGAAGTCCAAAGAGAACCCAAATTTTATTTCCAACAATCTGACCACAATCCAACGAGAGATAGAAATATCAACTAACTTGACACATAAAAGCTTCAAGATCATAAATACCTACTTTGTTGCTAAGTGCCCAGGTAACTTGTTACTCAATAACTATAAATCAAATTTTCTCATAATTCTACTTCCATTTTTAACCAACACTTGAAGTTAGTTATAATCAAAACGGGGGGGGGGGGTATTTTAGTAGTACATAAGAAATTTCATGAAAATTTCTTTTCAAAATGTACTTTGGACTGGAGAAATGACTCAGTGGTTAAGAGCACTGGACATTCTTCCAGAGGTAAACAAGATGGCTTCCTATCACCTACACGGTGGCTGAATTCTTACAAGGATCAGCAGTGACTGCAAGCGCATGCACTTCATGACTGGGAAAAGGGCAGCCCAGGCAAGCAGAACTCAACACAAAGAACCCAAGGTAGGAGAAGAGTTGACACCAAAGAAAGATTCCAGCAAAAAGGAGCAAAATGAACATAAAACATCTGAATTTCCCACCAGAATAACAGCTTCAGTGACTTTTGACAAATTATCCAGATTAATAGTCATTCACAAAATTACTTAAAAGCCTAAGACTAAAACTTCATCAATATCTTAATAAACCTTAATACAACTAGTAAGAATACATTTTTAGTTTTAAACCTTGTGGAGTTGTAAAGGTCCAGCTTCCTACCCCTGGAAGCACAGGAATGGGGCAGTGAGAGGGTTCAGTGCATAAAGGTAATCCAACAAGCGGTTTTCTGACTGCCACATGCACACAAAGGCAAACATGCCCATATACATACACACAAAAGAGAAACATTTTGAATAATGTAAAAAGAAATCATAGGAGTAGCTATTAAGAGCATTAGTCTCTTCTAGATAAGGAGGAAATTGTACATATTCAATGATGAAATTAAAAGAAATGGAGAAAGTCAATAAAATTCTTGAAAATAATTAAACTGACTTAATAATTTAAACTAGAATCAGACTGAGCCTAAAAAAAAAAAAAAGCTGCAAGCAATTATCTAGCATGCTTATCTATTTGTATTTTAACTTAACAATGTCAAAATTGTAATGACAGTACAGAAAACACAGGCATTCCACTATAGTTTCTCCCTGGCGTCCTGGAACTCGCGCTGTAGACCAGGCTGGCCTCAAACTCAGAGAGCTATTGGATGAAAGGCATGCACCACCATCACCCAGCTTCCACTACAGTATTTTTAAAAAAGATATTTGCTGTGGGATGTCCTGTATGCTGTGAATATATGTTGCTATGATTGATTGATAAATAAAACGCTGATTGGCCAGTAGCCAGGCAGGAAGGATAGTGTGGGCGAGACAAAGAAAGGAGAATTCTGGGAGGTGGAAGGCTGAGGCAGAGAGACGCTGCCAGCCGCTGTGATGAGAAGCAAGATGTAAAGATAGCAGTAAGCCACGAGCCACGTGGCACGTGGCAACTTACAGATTAATAGAAATGGGTTAATTTAAGATATAAGAACAGCTAGCAAGAAGCCTGAGCCATTAGGTCATACAGTTTGTAAATAATATAAGTCTCTGTGTGTTTGGCTGGGCCTGAGCAGCTACAGGAGCTAGGTGGACACAGGAATACTCCAGTTACAGATATTTGTCCTGTTCAATTATTCTGAACTTTTTAAAATTTCCAGTGGAAGATAACTGATGGAATTCAACCCAATCTTCCATTTTCAATAATCTTC